CACACACACACACACACACACACACCAGCACGTGTTCACTGTAGATGATCCGGCCCACTTTCGTAGCCAATGATCATCTTCCTCTTTCTCCCTCACACACCAGCAAACGAACATGCGATCACTTTCACACACGCGGCGCATGATCAGTATCAGATCCACAACGCATGACAAACGCACGAGCAAGTCACCATGCAACAATACACGATGAGTTCGACAACACACGCCACGCCAAACACGCAAGGCAATGCAGTGACAACCCGGGAAAAGCATCGCGGCAACGTTAAAGCAGTGGGCGGGAACACAAAAAATCAGCCGTCAGACAAAACAGCGTGAAAACATGAACTCGCTGCAGCCTCGAACGCGCTCCCTTCCAGGCGGCCCAAAAAAAAAACCAACAACACAGCCTACAGCCTCGAAACCCGCGACCCGGCCCAGACCCGACAATAAAACACCCGACCGAAAAAAAACGTCTGTTCCATCCAACCGCCGTGCGGGACTCCTTTTCCCTGGGGCCAGGGGAAGCGTCTTCCGAGGACTGCTTTTCCCTTTAAGTATTAGTAGATAATGTTGAATGGCTGAACCAGAATCAATGTCCGAATCCCTCTTCTACTCCAGGCATCACATGAGGTCCACCATAGCCATGGCCACCCTTCTTCCTCCTTCAACCACGGCCGAGGCTATGGCGGACTACCACGGCACTGCCCTGCATGCRAAGGACAACACAAAGCAGCTATGGCTGCTCTAGCTCAGGCCGCCATGCCTGACTCTTCCTCGAAGCTTCTCGGYGTAGCTCTACCCCAACGGGGSCCTTCCGGATGCAGCACCCACCAAGGTGATGAAGATRRCATCCACCAAAAATATTAATAACTGCTGGACCCCCGCCCCTGCCCTTGCAGGTTTGGGGTGAGGTYTAGGTGGGGCATACCAGGTTTGGGGTTAAGTCTGGATGTTRGCGTTCCAGGTTCGATCTTGGGTTCAGATGGAGCATTCCAGGTTCGGGKTGATGTTTAGATCGGGCATTCCAGGTTTGGGGTGAGGTTTAGGTGGACCATACAAGTTTGGGGTGAGGTCTGCATGGAGCATTCCAGGTTTGATCTTGGGTTTGAATGGGGCATTCCAGGTTGGGGTGAGGTTCAAGTGCGGGGTTAGGTCTGGATGGAGCAGTCCAAGTTTGATCTGGGGTTTTGATGGGGCATCCCACATTTTGGAGTTAGGTGCGGATGGGGCGGTGCAGATTTCGGTTAGGTTTGGATGGGGCATTCCAGGGTTCGGCAAAAAATAAGGTGCCACAGAGTTTGGCTGGTGTTCAACATCAAAGGTGGCACTTAAAAAAAAAAAAAAAAATGTTGAAGTGTCAATCCACCAACACTCACCACAAGGAACTGCATGTCGCTCAGCTCCTTCTCCAATTGTTGATAGTTTCCATGGCCAGAGGCAATCAGCATTAAGTCCCTTGACGCGGMATCGATAAGGGCAGAATTTGRTCTTGTAACGGCTGTGTCTGACAAAAGATCAACTATTGTAGCAGCAAGTGCAGTGGCTCGGAGAGGTTTCATCAAGGTTTTTCGAAAGCCTATCTTTTTGGCCTGGTCATCCAAAGCAGGGTCRTTAATGAGCAGTACCATCCTTAGCAGGGCACTGTTCAAAGCATCTGTGTACTTCTTGTTCTTCCCTGACATCTCTTTGCTGGAGGACTCGAGCAACTCCCCACCRAGCCCGCTTCCCAAAATTACSCCCCATTTCGTATGCATGCCTCTCACTCTTTGAAGTAACTCCCCAYCGACGATAACAATGAACKCTGCAGCTAGCCCTGCTGGGGGGTCYGCTCCATTGTTCATTTCATTGTTGTCATTCTTGCCACCAGCAAAGGGAAGAAAGTTGGAAGGTCCATTGGCATCCATAGACGCCGATTCACCCCTACCGCCGCCACCACCGCTGCGGAGTCCAGCTGTGACACTTTTCAGAATTGCATCCGGAATCCCTGCCATTGACTTGACARCTGTGATGTTTCTTATCTTCAACCACCGCAGGTAACCTGCAGTCACTGCTCTACGGACATGTTTATCATCCACAATGAGAGCATGAATGATGTCCATGGAACTGCGGCGACTATCCTTATGCAGCTTCCTTCTACGGCTTTTTCGCTTTTTGTTCATTCGAGCGGAAAGAGATTCCTTAGCAGCATTGAATYGTGTGCCGATCGGCGCCAGCGGGCTCCATTGTGGGGTCTCTCCCATCGCACGGGAGCTCTGGTGCGAAGAAAGCTCTTGCTGTGGATTCGTGTGGTTCCCCTTTGCCCTGCCTAGCKTCATGAATGAGCCAAAGAACTTGGTGGTTGCCTGATGGAGCAGATGSATCTTACTATGTCTATCTGTTTGGCTAACAAGGGTACCCAATGACTGCTTGGCTTTCTTCTCTTGAGGAACCGACTGCTGTCTGYGCGAGTGATGTCCTTGCTTCATGTAACAGTCAAAAAAGAACGTGGTTCCCACACCTACCTCGCTGCGGAAGTCCATATCGCCATCCATCAGCTGTGTCAGCTGCCTGGAGATCATCAAGCCTATTCCAGTKCCGCCGTACATGCGTGAGGTGCTCACATCTGCCTGAACATAAGACCCAAACATGTTTTTCTGAGCATGCAATGGAATTCCCACACCTGTGTCCTGTTCCRAAYGGCCMAAACCAGACCCACCAACAMAAAGGAAACAGCCCGGACACCATGGATCCCTCCGTCAGCATGTCGTGGTGTGGCGAAAAAGATCATATGATCCGTGTTCTGCATCTGAAGAGATCATAAAAGACTTGACCTGCAAACTTCACACGGAGCCAGGTATCACTCACCACCGATGCAAGCTAAACAACGACGACAACAACGACGACAACAACGACAACGACGACGACGACGACAACAACAACAACGACCACAACAACAACAACAACAACAACAACAACAACAACAACAACAACAACAACAACAACAACAACAACGACAACAAGAAGGAGCTAGGTATCACTCACCACCGAGCCTAGCTCGGTACACCTGACCGTGGCTCTAGAGATGCAGTTGAATGGGAGTTCGTGAACATGAGGTGTAGGTGGGATTATTACCAGACCAGATGTGGCAAGGCATGAAGCAATGTCTTCTCTGTATTTACGTTGATTACTAAGCCCTAGGTGGCATGTTCAAGTTTTGGATGCGACTTGCACATGCTGTCACGCGTTAAATGCCGTAGAGGTTACCCTACAGTAGAATGGCAGCAAACTGGTGGTGGTGAGTGTGGTTGGGTACACTGGGTCATCGAGTATTCCGTTCTGGAGTGGGGTAAAGTTTCATATGGGGCTWCACTTTYGCCCCAGCCCTCTTAGCCTATTGGCTAGGTGTTTGCCTGACAAGCTGTAGGTTGCGCRTTCAATTTTTCGATTGGATGTGCAGACGTGAGTGGGATCCATGYGTAAGTGAGGACTACCGAATTAACTGCTTCATTATATGACACATGGCTGATCGGTCAACCGATSGACTGGTAAAAAAAGCTGACCAATCGACTGGTCAACTGACAACCTCAACAACTTCACCCGCCAATCAACAGCCATTTCGTCAAAACGGACATATTATATTTTTTGAACGAAATCAAAACTGACTTTTTTTGCCAAAATCCGGTCGGAATTTTTTGCTCCTGGGGGTCCGGCATTCTCAAAACGCCGGACCCCCTACATGTATCTGGTCTATGGTTGAGACCAGATACAAAAAAAAATAAAAAAAAAAAAAAATGTATCTGGTCTCAACCATAGACCAGATACATGTAGGGGGTCCAGCGTTTTGGGAATGCCGGACCCCCAGGAGCAAGAAATTCCGACCGGATTTTGGCAAAAAAAGTCAGTTTTGATTTCGTTCAAAAAATATAATATGTCCGTTTTGACGAAATGGCTGTTAATCGGTCAACTAACTGACAGGTCAACCAGCTGATGTGTCAACTGGCTGACCATTCAACTAACCGGCTGACGGACCGAGCACCTAACGAACCGCCCACCCACACATCCATCAAGATTCAAGCGCCAACAAACAATTGAGCGACTAACAGACGACACAATGCTTGGTTGTTCCAGGACCTGTGAGTCTGTGATCGTCCTACATTATATTTTTTTCACATTTTTTTTTAACACAACACACACAGCCCCTTCTATTCTCGGGGGAACCAGTCCGGTTGCTTATCACCGGCAAGCAAACAAACAACTTACAAGAACCATCCCCAGGGAGGAAGRGGGGGGGGGGGGGGGAGTCATAGAAAGCGGCCGACCGGGAGACTCCCTTTGGTAACCCAGCCATCGGTCCCCTCCCCACAACCCCCCCTCCCCCCCCCCCCCCAAACTGTTATGAAACTCCTCCCACCATCCCCGACCTGCCAGCCTGGCTCCTTTCGATCATCCACTCTACATATTCTTGAACAAGCAAGTTTTTGAAGAACAGAGGGAGAGCAAGGGTAGAGAGGCCCCTTACCTCAACCGAAACTGCCAGCCTGAGTTGTCCCTTCTTGTCTTTGGGTACATGATTGACGAAGTACGGAGAATCAGGTTCAACCAGATGGTGGATCTTTGCCCATGAATTGCACGAGTCCGCTACAGGGTTACCGCTCAGGGATAAGGTGCTTCCGCTTTCAGCGATGCTCCCGAGCTCACCAGGTCTCTGTTCTGCTGACTTGAGTGATAACTGGCTGACTAGCCTTTTCATCCCTCCAAAGATAGATCTCCTTCCCACTACCTGACGCAGTGACAAATGGTCCTTCGACCGTGGAAGATCGGACAGCTGAGCACCATCCTCCCTTGAAGCAATTGACACAACGCTGTTTCGGGCAGATGCGGCCACTGATGATGCTTGCGATTCGCGCCGGCTCGAAATTGTGCTTGGTGCTGCGCTAGTCATTTCACTGGGACTCACCTGCGACAGGCTTCCCTCTCGTGAGCTCAGCATGCTTGACATCGCCGATGCTTCATCTTGAAGCTGAGCTCCACCATAGTCTCCAGCCATGCTTGAGACAGAGCTCCGGCTCGACTCAGAGATCAAATTTTCCATGGGCGATTGCAGGACGGTTGTCATAAACAGCCAAGATGAAGCTCGCCTCCTAAGCTCCGCAGTCTTCTGGGCCTTTCGCTTGTCGAGGGCGCGTTGCAATTCTCGTTGTTCTGTTGAACTCCTACTCTTTTTCGCATCCATCCTCCCTCCAAGAATCTCGTCATGTCTCGCAAGCCGGACACAGATGAAAATGTGCCCCTCTTTGGTGAACTTAAATGCATTTCCGACCAGGTTCACAATAATCTGCATTGGATGGTACCATCCCACCATGCATGAATGGGTGGGCTTCCTCATAAGACCATCCTCAGGTGAAAAAAAAAAGGTAACAATAATAATAATCACCCTCCTCAACATTGGGTATCTGCTCATATCACACCCCTCAATAGTGTGCCTCCTTTTTTTTCTTTTTTCTTTTTTTCTAAAGAAGAGGCAAGTGTTCAGTTGGCTCTTTTTCTTCTTCTTCTCCCGGAGTGTCTCCTCTGGTGTTCTTGTTGTTCTGCAATCATTCAGCGCGCCCGTCCTTTTCTTTTTTTTCCCTTTTTTTTAACATACAGCTGTCTTCTCCTCATACACGGTGGACAAGCTGTATTTTACTACCCTATTTTCTTCTCTCTATATAATTGTGTCCACCTCACACTAGCTACCTACCTACCCTACGTTATCCACTCACATATCTATTAATGGAGACAAAAAAAAATTAATAAAATAAAATAAAAAACCTTGTCTTTGTAGTAGCCCGACCACAAGCCGGTACGTGATTGAGAGTCAGCACTACCTTAATCTGCTGACGGAAAGCAAACTGATATAAGGATTACGGGTTGCGCATCATTTACCTATGGGACACTTTCCTCCCCGATCTACCCAGCCCACTTATCCCCTCAGGGTTGAGCCTTTCCTGGTTGAGCCGATCCCCTCAGGGTTGAATCTATCCCCTAGCGCAGGTGGAAGGGGTGAACCATTTGCCCTACCAGGCCCTACTAGGGGGAGCCAACTGTCTATCTCAGGTGATGAGCCCAAAGTGTGCAGCAGGGGGCTGTGGGGAGCCGAATAGATGACGTGGGGAATCGAACCCATGACCTCCTGAATACCACCTGCATGCTCAACCAACTGAGCTAGGCCGCTGGCCCACCAGTGTGCCTCCTATTTCAAAAAAAAGAAAAGAAAGAAAGAAAAGAAGAAGCAGGATTACCAAACTTGACCCCGGAAAAGCCGCTATTGCTAAAAAAGTGGCCTTGACAATGTTCTTCTTAAACCGCCAGTACACACCCCCAGCCTTGCTGAAAAGAAAACTCGTCGCCTATGAAAATATTGGAGGCCCAGCGCCTTGGGTCCCCCTCGCCCTGGCACAGATTTCAGACCTCGCCCCAGAAACTCCACCGGAAATCGACCCCCGTATATGGTTGGAAGATAAGTACTGGAGGATACCCAAGAAGTATAGGACTGGTGACCCCACGGACAAATACTGGGTACTCCTCATTCGTACATGGAGGAAGCTCCCGCCCCCCGATCGACCGGCGCCTGAAAGGTGGGAAGAAATATTTAGGCAGTCCTTATTTGGCAATCGCC